ACATCTAGGATCCTGCAGCTAGACAAATCACAGGTCATAGGAGAAAGCCTAATATTATTATCCTGTTAAATAGATTCAGTATTAAACTGACTCCCAGGGACTTCTTATACCCACAGATTAATATATCATCAACTCTCAGCAGAGAAGATTCTTTATGCAGCAAATGGTGATTAACACAGAGACCCATAACTGGCCAACATGTAGAGAATATGAGGCTGTAGAGTGCTTATCCCTGAATAAAACACCTATATCAAACTTGCCTCCAAAGGCTCAGGAATCATTGTGAAGAAGTGGCAGAATGATTGTAAGAGCCAGAGGTGGTGGGTGACCACAAGGAAATGGGTGATCACAAGGAAACAGAATTTTCCAAACAGCTGGTCATAAGAACTCATATATGAACTCATGAATTCACAGTAATGGTGACAACATGCACAAGTCCCACATAAACTCAAGCCAGACAAATCCCAGGATAGACACAGGGACATAGGTAAGAAACCCCAACCCTACCTGAGGAATTATTGGCAACAGATGGCTACTGGGAGGGTGAGACTCTTAGCAGGTTGACCAGGCTCCAGTGGATGGACCCATACCAAAGGGCATTTGGAGACACAAATTTGACTTTTATAGAGTACATGAAATTGGGTGGGGAGTATTAAGGGAGAGTGCAGATAGGAGAGAGTATCTAAATATGATCACAACATATCATGTGAAATCCACAAAAATTCTATTAAAAAATTTAAAAATTCTTATTCATATTGAAATGCTTAAGAAAACATTAAATAGCAAAATATAATTTTATTCAGAATGGGCAACTTAACTTCTAAACTAGAAAAGGACCAACTGCAAGAGAAGTATACCCTCGCCTGTGTGGAGTGATGCACTTTGGAACTATGGGCTTCTTCAAGCAAATGCTTCCGATGACTAGTCTCTTTCCCTTCGCCTGTTCTGCAGGGAAAGAAACACGAACTTGTATTCACCTCCTGGCTCTCTCAACAGTGGCTACAAACCTACCAGCCACTCATATCAATGATTCTGTTTCTTCTTAAGAACAGAGATGGCCATTTCTGTTCTGCCCAACCTAGAATGTTACCAAGAGATTAAGTGAAAAGCGCAAATGCAAGCAACTGACGTCACCCAGTTATATAAACACTTCAAGTTCCTGGTATTTGCAGATATTTAGTACATAGTAAGCACACTCACAGTTTTCTTTCTGAAGCTGAATGCATGACTCTCTCTGGAAACTCAATTACACGGTAATTGATTCTGGCTGGGATCACAGCTACCTGATTTTCATAAGCTACCTGATTTTCATAGGAAGTGGTTATCTACAAGGATCAAATTCCCAATAAACTTTTTCTGTATCTGATTTCCTTGTCTTACGGTTTTATGTCTAAAAATTCGCCCCCTTCATCCCAATGAAATACAAAGCATTCTGAACATGCAACTTGCAGTAAAGTCCAACACTCCCACTCTGCTCGACTTTGCCGAGCACCATGTCACTTTGTGTTTCTCTCCATCTCATTATCTTTCCCAGTTGATCCAGTGTGGCTCGCTATGCCAAATCATTTCCAGTTATTCTCCAAATGACTTTAATATTTTTATGCTATTTCTAACACCATGTATTTATCACCCCTTGCTTTATGTCCTTTTGAGTCCTTCCTATTGGGCTGAATCTTATTAATCAGGTACAAGTGACAAGCTTCCATTACTATGTATCTGAGGATGTCAACCTACTTGCTAAGCTAATTGGGGTATTTGACTTTTGATACCAGATGTGTCTTTTTCATTCTGCTGGAATTTTTGGAATCTTTCCCATCATATTAAACATTTCTTTTATCCTTTTTACACAAAACTTATGAACAATGATGAGCACAAGCAAGAGGGGATTGTGCACAGGCCCATACCCTCTTGAAGGAGTCTACTGACCAGGACACCTGGGTGCATTACACTTACCAAGCAGGGCTAAGGGCATTGGCCAAGTCAACATCCTTCAAGTTCCAAGTAGTAAATTATATAAGTAAGCTCATTGTTCATTCTCTAAAGAAAAATTTCAAAGCAACTGGAGAAAAAGTTTCCAATTACCTTTTAAACTCATCTCTGTCAACTTGTTTTCGCGCTATCCCATTTTGCTTCCACTACCACCCTTCCTGCACCAAGTTGGATTTTTACTGAGTCATGGAAGGGCAGGAACAGGAAAGAACAGAAGTTTATCAAAGTAAAAATGGAAGCAGAAAAGATAAAGACTGAAAAGGATTAAACAGACCCTTGTTTGTGAGCCTGATCAAAGAAGGAGGAAACCAGGAAAAATGTACCAGAAGACTCCAATATTTGTGTTTTGCTTTTCCATAAAAATAAATTTGGCAGTGCTGTGGTGTACTGGCAGTGCTGCGGTGTGCTGGCAGTGCTGCGGTGTGCTGGCAGTGCTGTGGTGTATTAGCTGTGCTGTGGTGTGCTGGCAGTGCTGCGGTGTGCTGGCAGTGCTGTGGTGTATTAGCTGTGCTGCGGTGTACTGGCAGTGCTGTCGTGTATTAGCTGTGCTGCGGTGTACTGACTGTGCTGTGGTGTATTAGCGGTGTTGGGGTGT